CAAAAATAAAATGAAGACAAGATTAGTTTCACGAATCAACGTACCATGATTTTTGGCCTTCCACCCGTATTTGAAGGCCAGTTCTTTTCACCAGTGGGTTTCAGGTGTGGTAATATCTAGAATCTTCTAGACCCACTGGTCTAAGACTTCAACCCTTAGGGAATCCATCGATTTGCTGAAATAATAAAAATAGAAGGATCAGTAACAGTATAAAATAACCTTTTATCAAAGAAAAGACAGACGTTGAATTTATGAATACGAGTTCATGACTCAGGGAAAGACGGAGTTGTAGCCGGGATGATATCCCTGGTGGCAATAATAACGAACTGCTCCATTCATCCACGGTCGTTGTCATCATCCATGCTGGTGAGCAAAGTATGGTGGTCTACTCCCCCACAAAAAATCTTGGGGGAGTATAGGTTCATCATGCGAGCCAAGGAGAGATCTTCCCTCGTCTCCTGGCATAGCCTCCATAGACAGGCTACTGTCTGCCACACAGAGGGTCTCACTGGTGCCAAACAGACTTGATACCAATGACAGAACTTTAGGATTATGGGGTCAAGTCCCCCGCTCAATGAGAATGAGCTCAAAATGAAAAGGGTACATATAAAGATACGTAAAATCCTTCTTAGGGAAAGTTACTCACTCTACCAGATCGGAAGCGATAATGTTCAGATCATGGCAACCACAATCCTCCTTCACAGTAGGAATGCTAGAAGGACGGATGGAAGAAGGGTACACTCCAACATCCCATGTACGAGAATTTGTAAAAGGAAACTTCTCTTCAAAATCCTTGGTTGTACTAAGTCTTATGGGAATGATGGTGCCCACCGTAGGAGGGGCAGCATTGTTGATACCCAATTTTTCCCCATAATATTTCCAAAACTATGTCTTGGCATCAATTAGTATTTCTCATACAATTTCTGCATTTTTAAAATATTTAAATTAATTTATCTCAGTATTTTATTTATAAAACAATCACTGATTACATCACAAATAGTTTTATAATAATTTTCGTGGCTTAATATTGTCATTTGCATTTGTACTAAGTTTCAATTATTGCACGAATAGCCACATTTATATTTTTAGGATGCAATTGCAATTACTTTGCAATTATAGCCTATGCATGCATTATTACATTATTTTGCCGAAAAATAGCCTTTTATATTTTAAAAATATTAAGTAATTATTTTAAAATATTTATAGGCATGAAAATTATTTTTTTATAATTTATTAACTATTTTTAGAAATTATTTTTATCAATTAAAGAGGTATTTAAAAAATAGCCTTTTCTATTTTGGGCCTAGCCTAATTAAATGCCCAAATTCAATCCCACATCGGCCCAAATCTACCCAGTCAAACCCATAACATTCAACCCGACCCCAAATCCTTTTAATCATGACCGTTGATCACAGAGATCAACGACTATTGTTCCCCCTTTCCTTTTTTAGTCCTAGTGACCCCCAAACCCTAGCTATTTGCCTACACCCGCCGCCCCTGAAACCTTTTTTGCTCTAATTCTCTCTGAGACCAAACTTAACCCTATCCACCGCCACCTAAAATCATCCCTAATCCCCTTGATTCCTACTCTATTTATGGCTTCTCATGGTTGTACGAGGCCTCTACTTGTCTCTTATTTCCCCTAGTTGCTCAATTGCTGGCTTTTCCACACTGTACATAATTAGTCTTTATTTGAGAAAGTCTGGTGTGAGCACTGCCCGGGATCCTTGAGGTCATTAGGGAACTCTGACACACCTGGACACAAATATGGCAATGAATCTTGGGCATTTGAGACTAGTGAAGGTCGGGTACACCAGGATTTGCTTTGGGCCTACTTCAGGCTCCCTATAGCTTAATTTATATTTTATTTATGTAATTTTTATTCAATCATTGGTCTATAATAATTAATTACAAACAGATATTAGGGTGATTAATGAAAAGGAAGGGTAGTTATATGGTACTGTGGGTAAAGTTGGGTAGATAACGTGCCTATAGAGTTCATTTTGGTTCAAATGTGTTTGTTAGATAGCATGCCTATATGATTTGCTTTGGTTGAAATGTATTTGTTAGATAACATGCCTATAGGGTTTGCTTTGGTTGAAATAAGTTCTGCCTACTTTGCTTTACATGATTAGACACTATGCCTATAGGGATTAAAATAACTAAGGTTCAACTTTCATTACAACATATATTCAAAGCCGTCTCTTTAGAAAACATGCATGTAGGTTTAATTGGTTGTCACACTTGCTCAGTCAGTATGCGTGTCTAATAAGAACTAATAGCAGTTTCACTCATTAAAGATAGAACACATGTCCATAGAGTAATTATCATATTCAAACTGGAACTTCATACAGTGTCTTATTACACATCACTAAAAAGCATGCCTATAGGATAAAGAACTTCAAACTGTTTCCCAAAATTGTGACTGCGTATACACACTTAGGCAAGCCTTAGGACATTAAATAACTGTGAAACCAGTTCTGTTTATGTATAAAATTATCCAGGCTTAACATGCTATAAAATCAGTAGGCAAACTGGTTAGGATTCTGTCAATTTCCTTATGCATATCCTGAATATGTAACACATTCATCGAGATATCATACTCTTAGGATTTCTGAATTTCTTCAAAATCTGTGTTTGAGACGTGCTGCTTATTTGCTTATGTACATGTGGAGGTAAACGTGAGCCTTAACTGCTTTTTTCCCAAGCTGATTGTCCTATGTGTTCTTTGCTTGTCGCCTAGATTTTTACCTTTTAAAAACCTTAGGTTGTCTAGAACTATCCAGATTTAGAGGTCCTAAATTCCCCCAGGACCATAAGGAAGGGACGGGTAGCAGCACGCTTAGAGGTCGTTAATTAAACTCGCTTATATAACCACTAAGGGGAGGGTAATGGGTAGTAAAAGGATATGATGACTTGTGTGCTAATGCAACGCTTAGCCCCTCTCATTGAGGAGTGATTACCGCGCATTGCATGGGTATGATCCTGTAGGCTAATCAACTTAGGCTTCCCTTTCCCAATTCCCTTATGTGTTTAAATTCTATAAACTTTCTCTCCTTTACATATACATGTGTAAGTTGTCCAAACCTTTCTTATTTTCATTATCTGAATTTCCTTGATCATATATGTATTTATAATGTGAAAACTACCTTTATTTGCAAATACCTGTTGAAACTGTTTACTTGTTAAAATGATTAATTCACATAGTTTAAGTTCGGTTGGGGCCCACCGTTGCGGACCACGAGGGGTGTCTAACACCTTCCCCTCAAGGTTATTTCGAGCTCTTACCCTAATCTCTAATAATGCAAACTAGTTACATGAGTTAATCGCTCTAGGTGCCCTAACGCACCATAATCCGTTAGGTGGTGACTCTTCAAATACCCAATTCTTAAAAGGAAACGAGTTGTTCCCTTATAAATGTCGAAACCTGGACTTCCGCAAGGGAAAAGCATCATTGGTGCTTTCTTTATTTTTTAGAGAACTTGAGTTCTTGGAGGAGGAGGCCATGGTTAGCAGAAGGTTATAAGATATCTTTGAAGAAGAAGATTAAAGAAGAGTGAAAGCAAGAAAGAGTTGAGTGCAAAAAAGTTAAGAGAGTTTGAAAAACTGTGAAGTGTAAAAGAAGAAGAATGAGGCGTATAAGTAAAGGAACATGTGGCTAAAATCGTGACCATGATTACCTCGATAACCGGTGAAAGTATTGCTAAATCGTGAAATGATGCATGTTCAGGGCATTAAATGCGAAGAGACGTGCGTTTAATCAAGCGCCAGAAACTTTTCAGAAGGGATCAGAAAATTTTTCGCCATGAAAGATATCTTTACCAACTTCCCGATAACACAATGATGTGCCACCAGAAAGAAAGAGAACTATTTGTAAAGGGTAAAATCGGTTTGTATTAACTACTCAAATAATATAGCGACACGTAGAATCAGAGATAGACGGAAAGCGAAGCAAATAGAAACCGAGATCGAGGACAACAGCTTTGGTTGGCACTGGGAAGACCCCCAAGCGAATATTGCTAATAAAGACAAACGAATGTTTGTCACCCGATGACATTCAATGCAAAATATTTTTCAGTATTAAATACACACTTCGTTATAATGAATTTTGGAGTTCATAACCTGTCGTTACACATTCATCAATGACCCTCATAATTGTCATTTAAACGGACTTAATCCTAGAACCTTGTTCCCTAAGTATAACTATAAATAATGACTTCAACAGTTATCGTAAGGGACACAAATTTTTTAACAAACTTATGCTACATATTATTCTAATCTCAATAATATTTTATTTTCTGTCTATTGATAATCTTATTATTGCTTTCGAAAGCACTGCTCCCAAATATAGATCTGAACTCCCACTCATAATGGTTACCGGACAAAACCAAACTATTTATTGTCTTATCTCGATTTCAGCGCTAACTCTTACTCCCTCCGGTCCACAATAAGTGATCAATTTATTTTTAGCATGCTCATTAAGAAAATACTAAATTCTATACAAAAATACCTAGTATGACTAAATTACCCTTAATTAAATATTTAATGTGAGGAGTAAGAAATTTTTTTAAGAATATATACATAAAATAATTTTATAAAAATAAATTGAATTCTTTCTTGATTATATAAATGAACACTTATTTTGGATCAAAATAAAAAAATAAATTGATCACTTATTATGGACCCGAAAGAGTATATTTTACTTAATTTATTTATCCTTTTGAAATCAAATTGATTTGCTTAGACATGTTATAAATTCAACTGTACCGTTTTACGAGTAAAAACTAAAACTCAGCATACTTCCCACCCCTTGACCGCCATTGAAGAGCTAAGCAAGGTGACGTAGAGTAGCAATTTACTAAATTCCTCTGAATCCAAATCCAATACTATCAACGGATACATTTATGCAAAAAAATTATTAAATTACTATATATGATAAATCTAAAATCATAATTTTAATAAATCTTAAAAATTTAGCCCATAAAGTTTAAATTCCGAGAAAAACCATACAAACTCCTGTATTTGGATATCAAGCTCCCTCATAGCTAAAACACATGATAACATTCAACTCGAAAGCCACATAAACATAGCAGATGTAAGAAAATAACAAGCTGTTATGACACGAACTCAGCCCCAAACCATAAACTAGGTGAAACTAGCAGCTACTACATACTTGGGTATAACACTACAAATGAAACAAGCTGGAACAACATCCCTTTATATATTAACCAAAGTTAGAATACTAGCATGCATTCTTCAAGTATAGTATCATCATCAACTTCAAATTCAGGTCTTGGTTTTGTACTTGGACTCGTCAATTGGGACGCCTTCCTCCTGAGCGCGCTCTCCACCCGAGGCGCCGCTCGAGCTGAAGCCTCCCTTGCGTCCCATCTCTTGGTACCCTTCCTCTCCAATCTGCTCCTTCCTCGTCTGCCCTCCTCTGCTCCTCCCTATTGTATTCAGAACCCGTTTGTATTGGATTAAAAAAATAACTTTTCAGCAAAAATAGCTTTTAAATCAAAAAGTAATAAGTTGAAGTTGCCCAATTTTTTGGGTTGTCTTAATCAGTTTTAAATTTATTTTAAGTACTTTTTAAGTTTACTAATCAATAAAAAAAAAGTTAAAAAGAGTTTAACAACTGATTTGTAATCCGGTCAAACATCTAAAAAAGAATCCAAGAGAAAGTATGCAATAAGTACATAAAGCCAAACAAATTAGCTGAGGAAAGGAAAAACAAAACATACCGGATCCAAATTATATACGACCGAATACTTTTAAATTACGCATTAAGGATTTAATACCACCCGACTACCCGTCCTAATTTATGTGATAATAATCAAAGAGTCAAATGAATTATTTTTTTATTCAATTTTTTTATGTCTTTGAAATATTTTTAGTTATTAATTATTATAACTTATAATTATTCTTTTACGGTCAAAATTAAAAGGTTCAAATCTCAAAAAATAAAAATAAAAATAAAAATTATATAAATTAAAACAAAATTAAAAAATGTACGTCTCGAAAACAAAAGGAGTATCACATAAATTGAAACAAGAGGATGTATTTCTTTAAATTTTAGCAAATTCTAAAACATATATGTTTACGTTTCGTCCGTCCAAAATATACCGAAGTCAATTACTATCATTTATACGAAATTCTGTCCACATATGTAAAGAGATTATTAGAGGTGAACAATAATTATACCCTCGGCAAGGTGTTCCTGGGCCTCAAGACTTTTTCCACCAGCTCCGCCTGGAACCGCTGTCTCTCCTTCCCTTGCCTTTCGGTCTAGTTCTGCTCTTTCCTGCTCTGTTGCCATTTTTTCTTTTTTGCCTTTTTCCCGCCCACACTAAAATTAACGCAGACTCAATTATTAGTTTAGTTCTCCCAGTGATCAACGATCTTTCGCTGTTTATAGAGGAGCTTAAGAGAGGAGTACTATGTATATCCAAATTGACACGTGGATATTGACATGGCGGTGTGCGGGGAATTTGCTTAAGACGTCAGCAATTGGAATGACACGTGGTTGTAAGGTGACAATTTGCTTCCACGCTGTCACGGAGAAGATTAGCTAAATCATAGAGTTTTCTTATCTGGATAGAGACCCCAAAATACCAAAGTATAAACTGGATGAAGACGATTAATGTACCCTTTCGATTCTTGTCGTTCTCAATTTTTGAACCTTAAATTTTTATATACAACCAGATCTTTCTATAATAGTCGTATTTATTTCAATTTTTTTGGCTGATATAATGAAATACTGTTATAGAGAACATATTTTATAACGTAATATTAAATTTTTTAAAAAAACTTAACTTTTATAGTAAATGATCGTTATATATATGGATGTTGCTATAGAGAAGTCTGACCGTCGATCATCGATATGTGTTAAGGTCGCCGGATTCCACCTCCTCAGCCTATTATAATCCAAGTAACCTTTGAGCAGGCTAGTAACTCACCTATTTATAAGTAAATTTATGTTAACTCTGTCCATTTGACACCCTTATTTCTAACGAGGATATCAATTAAAGAAAATATTTTCAGAAGTTGGCCAATTGAAATATTACCCAATCCATCGTGATATAAGAATGGAGATTCAGAACACGGAAACATCGATCAGAAGTTGTCTTCCCCGAAAGCAAGATATAGCTGATTAGTTTTCGGAGATTAAATGGTTGTCTTGATTTTGAAGCTAATACAAGAAGTAAGTATTGGAGATACTAATGGCGGAGCTAGAATTTTCATTAAAGGGAGTAAGAATATAAATAAGTAAGCATTCGAAGAAATCAACGGGAGTCAACATATAGTATATATATATAGAAATTAAAAATTTAACCTATCTATGCAATATAATTTTTCGACGAAGAGGTGTTAATTGACTCCTCTCGCTAATGAGTGGCTCCGTCACTAGGTGATACAAATGAAAATATAAGTTTTACATCAATCGAGATGGTAGCAGTGGCGGAGCTAGAGCTTCAGCAACGGGTTTGGCCTCTATATTTGTTTTAAGAAATTTATTGAATAGGTATGACACTACTAGAAATCCGGAAAAAAGTTATCAACAATTTGCGACCAAAATTGGTCTGTCAAGAAAAGCGACCAAAGTTGGTCGCTAAATTGGAGAAAATTATTAAATAATTATTCTAAATACATTAGCGATGTCAAGGCCCGGATTTTCCACCCTTGGGAGCCATGATGGCGCCTACTGATGTGAGCTAGGCAAGCTAATTATTGAATAAATTACCTTTTTACCCTTTTTATACTCTTTAACATTTGTAAAGCAATAACGTGTAAACAACAGAAATTTAGAATAAGCGGAAGAAAAGCAATAAAAATATCTTAACATGTAACTAATACAACTGTTTAAGCCTTAACCACCCAGAACTGTTGTCATGGTGTCACAGACGATCTAAGATTTACTACATACAAAGTCCGAAAAATAAACGATACACTGTTTCTGAATTAAGGGAATGAAACAGGAATAAAGGGATAGAGGGAGACGCCAGAGCCTGCGGCCGCCTGCAGGTCTACCTTGGATCTCCGCATGGACTGAAGGTAGCCACCCGATCTACGGTCCAAAAGCTGCTCCGGGATCTGCACATAGTGCAGAGTGTAGTATCAGCACAACCGACCTCATGTGCTGGTAAGTGCCTAGCCTAACCTCGGCGAAGTAGTGATGAGGCTAGGACCAGACTACCACATAAACTTGTGCAATTCAACTATATACAGCGGAAAAGAAGAATAGAAATAAACAGTCAAATATGTAGGGGTAGCATGCTATGGGGGAGATATCAATTCAGAATTTAAGGACAACAGGTGATTGAAAGAAACAATATATCTAGGATGTCAACAAAAAATCAGAAATCAATAAGTGCACGGCATCACCCTTCGTACTTTTACTCTCGTCCTCACCATAAATTCAATATAATTGGCACGGAATGGTACATCGTGCAGCACGATATTACGCTTCGTGCTTTACACTCTTTCCTCACAAATCATACACGGCATCACCCTTCGTGCTTTATCACTCTCTCACCAAACGATACACGACATCACCGTTCGTGCTTTAACTCTCTTCCTCACCCAAACAACAATCATAAACAATAGGGCAAGAAAATAAATGAAACTACAATAAGAATCCCAGCAAGGGAACAATAATTCAAAAACAAGAACATCCCGACAAGGGAGACATTCTTTTCTCTTTTTCACTTTCACTTTACAACTTGAGCCAATGCTCTAATAGGGTTCAATTTACCTCTTACACTTTCACATTTCACTATACGACTTGAGCCAACGCTCCACAATATTCAAACGCCACAATTACTTCCACAAACTTTGCCAACAATAGAAATCATCACCAAAGCATGAACAATACAACGAAGTCATAAAAATCACAATATAAAACTCACGAACATGATTGACACCAACGTATAGATACTCGTCATCATTCCTATACGTCGTACTAGACAAACACCACATAGAAAATAGTACTCGAATCCTAATCTTTCAAGATAAAGTTAGACCAAACACTTACCCCGATGCCACGAATATAATTCACATCTCAATTATCGCTTTACCCCTTGATTCCACCACCAATTCGCTCGCTAGTCATAAGTTACTTAATTACATCAATAAACGCTAAATGAATCAACTCCAATGCATGAAAATGAGTTTTCTAAAGTTTTACCCAAAAAGTCAAAAATCGCCCCTGGTCCCACAGAGTCAAAACCCCAGGTTTGAACCGAAACCTATTACCCATTCTCCCACAAACCCAAATATATAATTTGTTTTGAAATCGGACCTCAAATCGAGGTGCAAATCCCCAACTTTTGAAAAACCTAGGTTCTACCCAAAACACCCAATTTCCCCCAGGAAAATAATTGATTTTAAGTTGAAATCATGTTAAAGATGTTAATGATTGAAGGAAATAAGCTAAAATTAACTTACAATCGATTTGGAAGAAGACATGTTCTTGGAAAATCGCCCAAAAGGAGTTTGTGTTTTGAAAAGATGTGAAAAATGAATTTAAAATCGTCTAAGTATAAAAGTTGCAGGTCTTAGATGTGGGAATTGCGAACCCCGACCTCTACTAGCTTGGGAATTGTGAAGGGAAGCTCGCATTTGTGAACCCTTAAGAAATATGGGCTTTTTGCATTAGCGAACCATAATTCGCATATGCGACTTCAAGCCTTCCCAGCATACGTCGCATTTGCAAAGGGGATCCTCGCATTTGCGAGGT